GCCCTTGGCGTCACAATCTTGTTGTGACGACCGGACGCGAGCAGACAAAGTGAAATTCTCTGAATCTTCCACGTGGCTATGGCAGACAACCGCGCCCTTGGTCTCACCAGCCTGTTGTGATGACCGGACGCGAGCAGCGCATCCTTCCCGCTACTCCGTCACGATCTCCCATGAAGACAAAGTGAAACTCTCTGAATCTGTTGTCTGTAAGCTGCTACATACTCCGGGCAAACCAAGAAAAGTTTCCACGTGTCAATCTATGACTTTCCACCTTTCCACATCCTTCCAACCTTATGCTCCTCCGGGTGACCAGTGTTTGAGGCGCAACTCGTAAGCGCCCGTACACCAAAAACACCCAGTCGAAAACTCGCCCAGCCACGTGGCTATGGCGGGCAGCCGCGCCCTCGGTCTCACAAGCCTGTTGTGACAACCAGGCACGAGCAGCGCAATCCACCCGTCCCATGCCTAGCCTCAGACCCAACATGGATCCTGCCGACTCAGTTAACCAGAAAAGGAATGAAGTAAATATATATATATATATATATATATATATATATATATATATTTTTTAAAAGCTCTTTTGTGAGTCCATTATCCCGGTGGTCATAGGAGAACCGCCAGAATTGAGGGCTCGGCCAGGCGGCTGCTCCATCTATTGGTGGGGAGCGACACCTGCTGGAAATCGGATCCAGCGTCCCTTGGAAAAGCAATGCAATATATTGAGTCGGAGCCACAGGTGTTAGAGAGATAATCAGAGAGCCATTTCCCTCCGGGCTGCTAGCCTAACCCTTCTCCTACTTGAGCTTCTTGTGTCAGAACTGGTGTGGTCCCATTCCCGGAGGCGTCAAGCGCTTGCTTTTGGCCAATGATACATCCACAGTGCCTTCTTGTCGCATTCCAGGAGTTTGCAGCCCTTAGTAGAAGGGTTTTTTCGGGTGTGTAAGGACTGTGTCCCTTCAGCCTTGACTCAGGCCAGCACAAGTGGTCATCCAATTGCTAGCATCTTCCCCCTACGCCAAGAGGAGTTCACGACCACCCGCCAAGCCACTCACTCCCTCCAAGTTGGGATATGGGCCAGGTCGTCCGCCACGGCGGTGTTGATGAAGCTTCCAATTGAAATTCTATCAATCTCCATCTGTCGCATACCATAACGGTGCAGACCAGAACAAGAACCGACCTCTCTCACAAAGTACAAGATAGCGTAGCGGAAGACTTAGATACCAATGATTCGAACAATCAATGTCACAATGCAGCCCAACCATACACGGACGAAGAGGAGGGGTGTTAGACGAAGAAGAGGGGAAGATGGGAATGTCGTCAACACCAAGTCCTTGGCACAGGCCTCAAATAATCCCTCGTCAAATGTCTGAATCCGAACGTTGAGTCTGGATCCAATGTCGTCAAGTCCCAAAGTCACAACTCTCTCTCTCTCTCTCTCTTTCTCTCTCTCTCTCTTTCTCTCTCTCTCTCTCTCTCTCTCTCTCTC